TGCGCTTTACACAATTGATGTGTGTATGGATTGTGATAAGAGTTGTATGAGCCCCTAATAAAATGATTTAAAAAAAAAAAAAAAGAAAAGAAAATACCATGGCTTGGGTCAGGTGCACGGAGGCCTCAAAGTGACATCCTTCCTTTTCAATGCATTCGCGCTGCCTCCTGCAGCAGGGTTCCCCCAGGCAGCACCACCACTTCTCTTCCGTTGTCATCCTGGTGTGGTGTGCATCTTGCCATGATGCTGGAAAGTGTCAAGGCTCCAGGAGAGCTTCCAGACCAAGAACAGATTTCAAAGATGGAATCAGCGGTCTTCTTCCGAATGATTAACCATTGAAAACCTTATATGAATAACTGTGGGACATTCTTCACTCTGGAAACACTAAAATCTTTAGAAATAGACAGAGCCTTGTCATCCCAAATTCCCAAAAACCATTGTTTCAAGTTTGTTCAAAGAAGCAGCCACCGTTTCCTTCCAAACCAGCCTGTCTAGCTCAGAGTGAGAGAGAAACCTTAATCTTGAGGCTTTAAAACAATGTTGTTCTTACTTTTATATTTTATAAGCATATGATCATTTGTATCATGGTTTAAAAAAATAACTGAGCACAAATCAGTTGTTGAATTCCGGGCTTGGGGGTGGGGGGATTTCCAAACCATTATTATTGATCATTGGAAGATAGATTTCAGTGACCTTTAGAATCTCCTTGTGACGTGGTTTGGTGTCTTGGATGTTACAGGAGAGGCCACATTCATGTTCACGTGTTTTCTTTTTATCTTGTCCTTCCCCCATCATCCTGAAGTGGCCGTAGTCCCAGGTGTGTGTACCCAACAGCCCCCTGGAAATAAACTAGTAATGTCAATATAGGTGGTGGTGTGCCCAGATGATCTTTAAAGCATCATTTCTGCTACTAGATTTCAAGAAGGGCGATGCTTGCATTTATATCAACAAGGATCTTGGAAAGGCAGAGGGCAGCTATGTTAGAATGTTCTTATTCCAGGAGTTCATGGTTAAATTTAGTTTTGCCACTCTCTAAGTCTGCAGCACCGTCTGCTGAAGGATAGATGGTTTTGAGAGAGAAAGTCGGTAATATTTGTGTGTTGTGCAGGGACTGAATTTATGATTCTTTGCTTTTTTAGGGTTCTGTACATTGGCCTGGCCTGCAATACAGCTCGCTATATTTATATTTCCTACCTGGAAAATGCCTGGACTGTTCTCCCCATGGAAGTTCTTCAAGGTAGGATTGGAATTATTTTTCAACTGAGCTATGACTGTGGTTTTTGAGATCTGACTCTACAAAGGAAGGACGGGCCTCTTGCTTTATGTGAGTCTGAAGTGGTTGCTAAGGAAGAGGTGATGTCAGTGGGCTGGTTCTTCGGCTACCCTGTTCTGTTTGTTTAGGTAAACAAAGCTGGGTTTGACCTACATCCTTCTGGTTAAACAAAAGGACTCTAGGATAAACTCATGTGACAGTTGTTAGGCATATAGAGTCAAAGGCGTTTTTTACATGTAAACGGATTTATCTTTTAGAGATGTTTTTGTAGGTGACTGATGCTATTGTAAGAGATTGTTCTGATAATTGCTTTATATTTTTCATCATTTTTTTATCGTACTTATAGCTAAACTGTATTAGCAGGGCATTGTTTCCCCATGAATCCTTTTAAATCTTTGCTGAAATAATTTGACCTGAGATCCTCTCTTTGCTTTGTTGATTATTCCCTTTCAAAATGTAATTTTGAAGTGATTTCTAGGAGGCTCCTGCTGTATGGCTTATGAGCACTGGAAACATGGATTACATTCAAAGCTTATTTCAATCCAGACTATATCCTGAACCCCCTGCTAGTGTTTGGTGCTTAGCTTTGCGATTAAAATAAAATTTTAATACAAAATCCCTAGAGTGAAGGTTCTTCTGTGGACAGCCCAGACCCTGACATCATAAATTGTTCTAAAATAGTTTGTGATTATGTATGATTTCATTAGCTTTCTAAATCACCATTATCATTTTCTCTAACACCCAAAATATATAAATGTAGCAGATTCAACGTAATTAATTTCTTGTCATGAATTACAAATGAAGCTATTTATACATCTAAGTAAAACATAAAAATGGAAGCTCATTTATCAAGTCTGTCATGGCAATGGAAAAATGAAACCTTAAATGAAAAATATGTAATTTAAGTTCACATTAAAGTTATAAAATTCAAATATTTACATACCATTAAAGGTGCTTTTTCCAATCTTATTTGAGTCTATGTATAATGAAAGAGGATTTTTTTTTAACAAACAGAAAATAAAATTTGGCTTTAAACTAGCAACAGACCGACAGTTCTAGAGGGATATGGGAGAGGGGGAGGTGGGGGTTAGGGGGGAGCCAACAAACCCAGGCACAAGGGAACAACAAGTAATCTAAAATCGGTGGTGAGGAGGGCGTAGGATGCCTGGTGGGGCTTGATGAAGTACAATGCAGCCAAGAGGAAATAATGAAAGCCAAATGAAGGCTGAACATGATAGTGGGACAAGAAGAAAGTAAAAGAAAATAGAGGTAAGGACTAGGAGGCAAAGGACATTTATAGAGATATAAATACAGGCACGTTTTAATATATTTATGTATATATAATATAGCGTTATGTATTTATATTTAACAATAGGGACATAGGGACATAATAAGGTAGCAGACATACATTGGGCCGCTCCTCAAGTACTCCCTCAATGCAAGAACACTTTGTTCTAATAACCTGACATTCTGTGATGCTCACCTTCCCAACACGATCGCTGAAGACAAAATGGGTACAAAAGCAAGTGTAGTGAAGAAAGCTTATGGTGCCCGGCTATCAAAAAATAATACAGTGTCTGGGGTCTTAAAGGCTTGAAGATAAACAAGCGGCCATCTAGCTGAGAAGCAAGAAAGCCCACATGGAGAAAGCACACCAGCCTGTGTGATCATGAGGTGTTGATGGGATCAGGTCTCAGGCATCAAAGACCCAGACGAAAAAGCATATCAGTGTGAATGAGTAGGGTGGAGTAGAGACCCAAAGCCCATCTGTAGACAATTGACCAAGGCTCACAAGGAAAAGATGAGCCAGTCAGGGTGCAGTATAGCACTGACGAAACATACAACTTTCCTCTAGTTCTTTAATGCTCCCCCAACCCCACTAGCATGACTCCAATTCTCCCTTACAAAGCCAGCTAGACCAGAGCATGTACACAGGTACAGATAAGAGATTGAAAGACAGGGAATCCAGGACAGATAAACCCCTCAGGACCAATAATGAGAGTAGTGATACCAGGAGGGTAGGGAAAAGGGTGGGGTGGGGTGGGGAAGAAAGGGGGAACAGATCACAATGATTAACATATAACCCCCTCCCAGGGGGATGGACTACAGAAAAGTGGGTGAAGGGAGACATTGGTCAGTGTAAGACAGGAAAAAAATAATAATTTAGAAATTATCAAGGGTTTGTGAGGGCGGGGCCAAAATGAGGAGCTGATACCAAGGGCTCAAGTTTTGAAAGAAAATGTTTTGAAAATGATGATGGCAGCATATGTACAAATGTGCTTGACACACTGGATGAATGGATGGATTGTGATGAGAGCTGTAAGAGCCCCCCGTAAAATGATTTTTTAAAAAATAAGTTATTGTTTAGAATAATTGGAGCTCCTTGGAGTCTTGAGGTGGAGAATTCATCTCAGCATTGCGTCCTTTTAAAAGGCCAAGCACTAACTGTGGTGCATCTGAATTATGGCGTTTGTGAAGAACGTTGGATATGCCGTGGTGTACCGTGGGTGAGGCACTGGGTTACTGACTACAAAGTCAGCAGTTCAAACCCATTAGCTACTCTGTGGGAGAAAAGTGAGTTTTGTCTGGCTCTGTAAAGAATTAGAGAGCCCAGAATCCCGTCACTAGGAGTTGGAACCAACTTAATGGCAGTGAGACATGAACTACCATAAAAATAAACAAATCTGTCTCGGAAGCAGTACAGCCAGAATATTCCTCAGAAACATGGGTGGCAAGCTTCACCCAAATGTATTTTGGACATGTTATCAGGAGGGAACAAGGCTAGAGAAGGACGCCATGCTTGGTAATGCAGAGAGTCAGCGAATAGGAGGAAGACCTTCAACAATTGGTTTGGCAAAGTGGTTACAACAATGAGCTCAAACATAGCAAGGCCTGTGAAGACGGTGCAGGGCTGGGCAGGGTTATCCTCTGTCATCGATGGGGCCTCCTTGATCTGGAATTAAGGTGAGGTGAGCCAATAACACAGTAACAAATGCAAACCCCAGCAAAGAATAGACGATAACAAAGTATATACAGCATAGTGCTTATAAAGGTCCCGCTTTTAGCTCCTCTTCTATGAGGCCAGTCCTTGCGGCTGCTATCGGTACACAGCTTGTCTGTGGACCGATGCTATGCAAAGGTTCTGGATGATTATATTATAAAGACACATACATGTATCTTTTCCTCCCTTTCTCCTTTTAACTGATTATGAATTAGATGCGAAAGGGTAGTTCACATAAGTGAGTCAAAAACGGAAGCATCCACAATGGTTGTGGAGCAAAAGAAGAATTTAACATAATAGGAGGGAAAAAAGATGCTGTAATTTGAAAATGTTTTTTCCTATTAACCTATCAAAGATATATTGGTGCTGAGACACACCACACACACACACACACACACACGCCTGAAAGTTTCCAATCCAAATGTGTAAATACCTAGTTACTCTGTTATGTGGCAGGAGCCCTGGCGGCATCGTGGGCTACGCGGCATTGGCCAGCCAACCACAGGGTCAGCAGTGAAAATGCACCAGCTGCCGCTCCATGGGAGAAAGGTGTGGCTTTTCTAGGCTCATAAACTGTCTTAGAAACATGCAGGGCCAGTTCTATGCTGTCCTATAGGGTTGCTATGAGTCAGATTTGACTCAATGGCAACGAGTTAGGTTTTCTTAGGTTGTGTCATGTTTTATATGGAACATATATATTCATATATGTTATGGTTTATAAGGAAACATATCACATTATACCTGTGTCTGGTATAGAAAAATACACAGAGAACAGAGAACAAGGTGCATGTAAGGATTCGATAGCTTTGTGAGACAGGGAGTATGAAAGTATCATTGAGAAATCCCCTAAGGAAATCATGTATGAACTGAATTTTGAAGGGCGAATAGGAATCCACCAATGAAAACTGGTTCAGCAATGGCTGAAGTAAACCAGGGCCGTGTGTGTGTGGCCAGTCGGAAACACACACCTTGCCTCCCTCAAAGAGGATGGCTAATAACATGGTAGCTTTGCATATGTGTTGTTCTCCAGAGCCCTGGTCTCCAAAAGTCCCAGAACAGTCTTTCCTCCTGAAATTCCAGGAGCCTGTTGTGGAAGACTGGGTCATTGACAGGGCCTTGGAGAGCAACACATGGCATGGTGCTACTGGCCGCCCTCTTTGATTGAGGTACAGCTGTTGAATCAAAATATCACTGGCAACAGATGTGGTTGCTGTGCAATGGATACACAACCCTTCTTTAAAATAGCAATTGCTAAACTGTTTTGGACTGGTTTGAAGCCCTGCCCTAAAGAGAGCAGGCCTAGGATAGAAAAGCCAGATGCCAAAGCATAGCGGTGGAAAGGAGAATGTCATCTCCAGGGAAAGGGAACAGTGCCCTGGAGCCATGGTTTGGTGGATTATCACCCTCCACCGTCGATCAGGCCATCTTTTATTTGTGTGCACCCAGGGTGTCTTAGGGAGCCAGTTATGTTCTGAATCTAAAGGATGATTCTCTTTTCTGTGGTGGTGTCTACTCGTATGTGCCGTTTCTATTTTCTGCTTGTGCCAGGAGAGATCTAGTTGCTGAAGTAAAACAAGTAAAAAGGGGTTCTGCGACTACATACCCTCCTGGTCTGACAGAGGGATCTGTGTGACCAGTTTCCACAGAGCTCTGTGTGTTTAAGACGGCGGAAGTGAATGCTGACTATTTTGGCTGTGCGACAGAGACACAACCCCGTGCTTTTGCTGATTCGCGCCCACCCCATGGAAAGGAGTGGATCACGAGTGTAGAATAAATCCTGTGTCACCTGCATTCTTCACGCTTACAAAGACTTGTGCAATTTTTTTTAAAGCCCTTGTACTTATGGTGGCCTTATTTGCTATGCAGAAAATCCGTACACGATGATCAGCAAACACTGCATACTTTTATTACAGAACAAGTCCACTGTCACGATACAATTTTCGGACTCCCCCCTCATCGTGTC